ATTAGAGCTTAAATGGGAATGGGAGTAACATGCCTTGGGCTTTGATCCTTCGAGCAATCAAGAAGTTCTATGCGCCAAGATCATTTTTTCTTAATTTTATATTCTTACTTTCGATTAATTATTTGTGCTTAAATATTCATTTTTGGTAATTGGTCAGTGTTTTCCATTTCTTAATTGTCAAATTATAAGTCTCTTCTCAATGTATATGCAAGGTTCACTTATAATTTTTTGCGGTGACTCATTTACCAAAATTCAATACCAAAACATTTTATCTTTACATGCTTCTCATGATTATATACTTCCCTAACTCTCTTGTAATTATGGTATCTTTTCTATCAATGAACATTGGCTTTATGGCCTATTACAGTTCCCCCAAAAAAACAATGAGTAATCTTATTTATCCTCAACGCAAAACTCCAGAATCTACTAAGAGTATATACCTCTAAACTAGTTAAAAGAAATTTATAAAGTTCAAATATTCGGTTAATGCTCTACTTTGCAAAAAAAAAACAAACTTTATTGAAACAGCATCTACAAGCCAGCTCGGGTTAGTAAACATTCATTTTGGGAACAAACTATTCTTACCCGGCTCTCATAATAAAAAATAAATTTTTAATAAAAAAAATTTTAGATTTTATGTTACACAAAGCTGCTTTTAAAGAAAGGCAGTAAGAAAAGACATCCGCTAAACCAAAGTCTATAAGCTCTTTTACGTAAAACCCTGCAATCCTTCTTTATTTTTTCCCCAAAATTCTTCCGAGAGAGCCACAAAGTCATTAACCTTGTCACATTTAGTATATCTGGTCCAATTATCAAAAGTCCATGACTTTCATTAATCTAATAACCCTTAATAGAACCATTGAAAAGTAATGCGCCTATCAAACCGAGACTATTATTTAGCTTGAGATATGAGTATTAGGATCTCTTATATTACAATTATTGTTTTTGAGTTTTCTTAGTTTATTTGTAGACGTCATAGATGTCTGGAGATATAAACTCTATAACACAATAAAACTCCCAGATATCAATGCAGTTGCCAATACGTCTATAAGATCTCATTTACACATATCAAAATTTCTCTCTTAACAGTACGCTCTAACTAATCCTATCCTTTCGGCGTGTCTCATATAATTAAATTTTTGAGGGTAAAGCACTAATTTGAGCCATATTGCATCAGATGTCGAGATATGGATGGGTTAACGATGCGAGTATAAATGCTTTCTATCAACTAAGGCATATTTGAATATCATTAGAAATGATTAAGGTCCACTACAATACTCTCCTCTGGCTGCGTGATGTTGATATGTTATGTTGCCATTTATGGCTACATATACAGTTGATAATTGTATGCATACTATTCGCATAACCAATTTGCTTCACTCACAATGAGTTCCAAAGTGGTCCTAAGAAGACTCAAATGGAAAAATGTGGTCCTCACCTGAAAGCATAAAATAGAGCAAGCAAGTATGATCAACAGCTATAGGCACCCGCACCACACTCCATTTCCAGACACAGCCGACGAGCTATATATGCCCAATCGCACGTTCTATATGCCAGCCACCAACTCAATTTAGCTAAAAATATATATTGCTCATAAAGTTAACGAAGGGATTTACTCGATTGTGCGTATGTAGTATAGTTACTGAGTAAGACATAGTTTCTGTTGGACATACTTTACAATGCAATGTTCTATATATGTCTCGGTTCAAAATCTGAATCTATACTATCT